CCACCCCCGGGTGCCCCGCAGCCCCCAGCCCCGCCCCCCGCGCAGGGCGGGTCCGGGCGGGGCCCCGCGGGGTGTCTGCCCCCCCCGCTCACCGCGGCCGCGGTCTCCCATCCCGGGGGTCCCCGCTCCGTGCCGGGGGGATCCGGGCCTCAGACCCCCCCGGGCTCCGGCCCGATCCAGGCTCCGCCACCGCCTCCTGCGGGAGCCGAGCGGACCCACAGTGCACCGCGGCCGGGCCCAGCCGACCCAGCATGCCCCGCGCGGGGGCCTCCCCGGCCCAGCATGCACCGCGGCCGGCCGCAGTATACCCCGCGCGGGGAGGGGGGATTCCGGCCCATCATGCACCGCGCGGGGAGGGGGGATTCCGGCCCATCATGCACCGCGCGAGGGCTCGTTCAGCCCATCATGCACCGTGGCCAAGCCTCTAAACCAGCCCACAATGCACCACTGACCAGCCACGAGAAGCCGCCCCCTCCGCCTTCCCGGCATGCAATGCTGTGAATCATAGAGACGGGATTTGTTCCAGACAGTCACTGTGACGGCTGTATCTCGTGGACCCGGCTTTCCTCCACCCCACTTACACTAGAGACAGGAGGACATTCCAAACTGTCCCCTTTGGTTGCTACCAGACTGGCGGGGAGGTGAAAGCGCTCCGCCCTAAACAAAGATGGCGGCCGCTAGTCAGGCTTCACGCCGCCCCGCACAAAGATGGCGCCCCCATGGTAACTGTCTGGCTAAGTCTCGCCGCAGTCACCATCTTTGTGAGGGGCACACGGACGGCCTACTGCGGCCTCCATCTTTAAGAGGGGCGATGTTAAGATCTATGGTGGCCGCCATTTTTGTGAGGGGCACTGCCTGCTCGCGGGGGGAGGGGTGGACGGGTCTGGGGATTGTTCCCGCGAGATTTTGGAGGGGGAGGAGGAGCCTGGCTGCCACGTCGGGTCTGAGCCGGAGCTAACGGATCCCAGTGACGGTGAGACCCCCCGGGGCATAGAGAGCGGGGAGGGGGCTAGAGGGGCCGCACGGCGCCCCGGGGCATAGAGCTGGGAAAGGGGGGCTAGAGGGGCCGCGTGGATCTGCGGTCAGGGAGCTGGGAGGACGAGGGGCCCTGTGGCCATAGAGAGGAAGGTGTTGGGGGCTAGAGCGCCCTTGGGTCGGGGGCTCGAGGGGTCCCGGGGGTCACAGAGACAAGCCCAGGCTGGGGGGGCTGCGGGCCCTGGACACGGCGGGGGGGGGTAGAAGGGCCTGGTGGGCTGGCATGGCAGGTAGATGGGGGCCACTGGGAGGTATAATGACCATAGAGATGCTAGGCAAGGGGGGCCAGAAGGGCCGCACAGACCCTAGAGACTATGGGAAGCCCCGGGCGATAAATACGTGGGGGGCAGAAGGAGCCACTGTATGATCCTAGACCTGGGCAGACAGCGTAGGCAGGGCCGTGTAGGGCCGTGGCGCTGGGAAGGAGGGCACTGCGGGGTCATAGAGATGGCAAAGAGCCGTAGAGGGGACGGGGAAGGGAGTCTAGAGCGGCAGTTCTCAACCAGGGGGTTCACGTACCCATGGGGGTACGCGGGGTCTTCCGGGGGTACATCAGCTCAGCTCGATACTTACCTAGCTTTACAACAGGCTACATGAAAAGCAGCAGCTGAGTCAGTGCAGACTAAAATGTCACACGGCCGATAAGAAAGCCAGCCATGGTTCAGTAACCGTGGGCTGTAGTGTTATGTCTGGTTTTGTAAGCAGGTAGTTTTTAAGTGAGGTGAAACTTGGGGTACGCAAGACAAATCAGCCCCCTGAACGGGGTGCAGTCGTCTGGAAAGGCTAAGGGCCGCGGGTATAGAGCGTGTACTACGTGAGTCCTAGTGATTGGGAGAAGGATCTTGCAGGGGTTCTTCGAGAGCGGCGTTTCTCACTCTTTCTGATACCAGGGTTGCTGCCTTCCAACCTGTGTCAGGGAGATCTCTGAGACGGCGCCGGTCCCCAGACCGGTCGTTGAGAAACGCTGTTCTAGACCCTCCTCTTGTGATCCCCATGACCCAGCAGTGCCGCTCTAGACACTCCTCTCCATCACTATGGCCCCGCAGTGCTAGATCTGCTTTGGGTAGTTATGGTCGTGCAGTGCAGGCTCTAGACTCTGCTGTGCCGCTATGATTTTACACTGGCCTCTCTAGAATTTCTTCCACTTTTCTGTGGCCTCTCTACCTCTGCTGGAGGGAACGGGGACTAGAGCGAGGGGATGTGTGAGTGTGACAGGAAAGGTCGTGCTCACACTCCCGCTTTCCAGCCGTGACAGCAGGATGGTGGTGCCTGGACGGACGCAGGGCAGAGCGGGACTCTATGGCCCAGTCGCCGCCATGATGGTCTGTGCAGCGCTGATACAGATTACTTCTTCGCACGAAGATCTGCACCACGGGCATTCGCACGAGGATCTGCACCATGGGCACAGCCACGCTGGGCACAGCCACGAGGATCTGCACCATGGGCATTTGCACGAGGATCTGCACCATGGGCACAGCCACGAGGATCTGTACCATGGGCATTCGCACAAGGATCTGCACCACGGGCACAGCCATGCTGGGCACAGCCACGAGGATCTGCACCATGGGCATAGCCATGCTCACCACAGCCACTC